ATTAAATAAGGTGCTATGCGGTCTTAAATAGGATATCGATCTTCAGTCTAAATAATTAAGTCATTGAGCTACGACAGTAGGATTTGATTTAATTGTTTAGTACGTAGTAATTCCCAACAGGGATAGCTAGCACAGTAGTGATATCCTGGCTGTAGAGATATGGAGTAAATTGATTGGAATATGTGAATTAATTTGGATATGATAGGTAGCGATCCCGGTGTTTCTCCCAGAGCTTTCTCCCATTGAATTTCTCACGACAAGTTTACTTTGCTTAATTAGTTTAATTATTTTGCTTTTAGTTAATAATTTCATCTCTCAAACCATTTTCAATTATAGTTTGCTCATAAAATCGAGAGAACATAAGGTTGTACCAGTCCCTGAGGGATGATACCCGGATTTCCGGTTTTACTACAAGATAGGAATTGAAGCATTACGCTTTTGCCCTATAGAGGTCTGGAGAGTTGCATTGATTTGGGTTAGGTTTGCTTGGGGACAAGCAAACGGTTAAGTGTGGGGGAGTTTGATAGACCATTAATTGCACATGTTTTTACCCCTATTCTTGAGCCGTTGAGATGTCGATTCTCGTGTTTTAGGCCGATTTCACGCTAGGTTGTTCTTGTTTGTGATATTTCAGGTCCTAGTACGTGAATGAAGGTTCGGGGACGAGTTCGGGGTTGATTGGACGAAGATTGGACATGTGGCGTGAAGCTGATGGAGCCACACGGGCACGCCTAAAACCTACACGCCCGTGTGGCCTGGCCGTGTGGCACTAAATTGCACGGGCAAAGTCACACGGACCGTGTAGGGGACCCCTCTGTGGCCGTGTGGAAATTCCATGGAACTCACACGGGCATCTTGGAATTCCACACGACTGTGTGGGTCGTGTCCGTGTAGGAAGCCTGAGTCACTTATCAAAACGCTGCGGTTTGCACATCTCACACCGACAGCTGGGGATGTCACACGGTCGTGTGGCCTGGCCATGTGAGTCGAGAAATTCTGGGTTTTAACCCAATTTGCAGCCAAAGGAAAGGGGTTCCGAGTTGGAGAGAAAGAAAGCGATTCCTAGAGAGAGAAAGCGGCGAACCAGAGTTCCCAAGTGCCCTAGCTTGATCTTCATCACCATTGGAGCTCGGCTCACACTTGGAGAAGTGCCGATTGACGACCAGGAGCAGAAACCCATCCTTCACAGCATGATTTCTGCATCTGAGCTTGCTTTTGCTTCTCTCTCCATGGAGTAACTTCCTTATTCATCTGGGTATGCAGAACCCTAGATTTGTATGTTAGGTCTGATTGTATGAACCCAAGTACAGATTATATGATTTGATTATATTCAATTGAGGTTTGATTTATTGAATGGCATGAATGCTGATCAAATTCCTGTTGTTTCTGCTTTAACCTAGAAAGAGAATATCTGCCTAGGTTGATAGAGCACCCTTAATTGAAGGTAGTGAATTGGCGACTTTAGTCGAGGAGCCAATTCACTATTCTGTACCGAATTTACTTCGGTACAGGAGGTTTGGTTCGTTAGGGCCTCAATTTGTTTACTTCGGTGGAGGTTAGTCGCCCGCTGGAAACTCAGATTGAGAGGGTCTGGAGACCTTTAGTTGAGACTTCAGACTGTTTAAGAACCTCCCGCAGTATAACTATCTTTGAACCTGAACTTGGTAAATTACAATCCAGCTTAACTGCAGTCTAGGGGGAACCATATCTGGGTGACCTCTCTCGACTTGAAAACAACCTTCTTGCTTGCTTTACTTGTTTGCTTGTTTGAACCTGCACAAAAGTTTCACCGCTAAATAATAAGAATTCACTGAGTAGTCATCACATCTAGGACCCGGGTTGACATTAAAACCAAAACCCGCTATACTACGCTTTAGGAAGTGGTTACACTTGGCCATTTTCTAGAGTGACAGTAGGAGTGAGTCATATGAGATCAAAGTAACACAACTAATGACTCAATCAAAGGATCGATTGGGCTCGAATCAAGAACGAAGCGTTCTTAATACGAACTTGGATAAAACGGAACCAAAAAGACAAATCCACACCTGGGGATAGCTCGATTGGTATAAAAGGGTAGTTGCTCGACCACGATTGAAGTGACTATTCAATCGATACACAAGCTCAGCAAGTTTGGAATCCACCAAAACAAGTCGCAAACTTGCACAAACCAAACGATTTCGATTTCTATTCAACAAAGTCTTATTATTACAACAAAAACTAGAGGGCTTTTATAGCTAAAGAAAACCTAATACTATTCTAAAATAACAAGGAAACTAATTAGAACAGGAAAAGGCTAAAGAATTCGAGTAAAGCAAGGTAACTTGCCGGCCAAGAAACTGACTTAAAACACAAGCAAGTCTGCCTAGGAAAAAAAAAGCTTCATAGCATATTTGAGCCCTTCGAAAATGGTCTTCTAGGTTGATTCGAACTCAACCAATTCCTTTTCTTTGTAGAAGGCAACTTCCTCTTTCACCTCCAACTTGAATCAGCCTAAGATCATGCTCCGAAAGTTGGTATCTCAAAACTCAAGATATAGGCCTTCAAAGTTGGTATCTCAAAACTGTTTTCTGCCTTAGCCAAATTTAGGCAGTTTTCCTGTTTTGAGGTAACTTTTTGATAGGCTTCGAAAGTGACCTTCCAGCGAAATCTTGAGGATGTCAAGGTCTAATTCGTCGCTTGAGATTGATTCGCCTCGCCCCCAGGAGCCTACTCCAATCACTCCCAGCCCATGAAACCATCCAAATTGTCGCCAATTAGAAGAACAAATTTTCCCGCCACCGGTAAATTTCGAATTTCCAGAATCCGGCCAACAAAACCCAGATTCCGGCGAGCTGAATCGCGAATTGGCCGTTTTTAATTCCGCCCTCTCCTCGTCCAATTGACGACTCATACACCTTTCTTGGACCTCTACAAACTTGAACACGACCTCCATTAGCTTCGAATCACTCTTAATTTCGCTAATCGATCGATTCTTTTCTTCTCCAACCTTTCGGCCAAAAAAATTCAATTTGGGAATTTTCGATTCGGCAATCTTTGGGCCGAATTGAACGCTGTCACATGTTGCTTTAACCTAATTTAACGATGCTACATCAGTGGTTTGAGTCGTATCACGCCCGATCTCCCCAACCAATTCGACGAATTTTTCGTCGTTCTTTCACGTTTCTAGGGGGTGCGAGCGCGATTTTGATTCAGCAAACTAGAAGGATTCGTTTCCCTTTGAACATGGAGAGATCTTATTGACTCCATTTGGAACGTGACGGCTTCATTGGATTGGCTTGAAGCTTCGCCGATTACTCCTCCCAATTGACCCTCTCTCTGCCTCTGTTTTGTCGGGACGCGACAGAGCTCCTGAGTTCTCGTCATCGAAGAGATTTGGTCGCCGTGAGCCCACTCCGGAGCTTCTAATCGACTTGTCGCCGTTCCTTCATCCTCGAGGAAGGCTTCTGTGAGCAGTTTGTGCTTTGATTCTCCTTCCTCACCGTCCACAAGACTGTCGCAGTTGACACTCTATTTTATTACTGAAAAACAGGGTCGTTGCAGGTAGGCGGTTCCAATGTCGAATTTGCATTGAGAAGTTTCTGAAAACCCATGAAATTGAAACCAACATGCCTTTGAACCCACAACTGAGCCTTGGATTCTTTTTCCTCGTTTCGATTCAGCTCCATCTGTTTTAAATCGCCAAAAACTGCATCGGGTGATAGAGGTTTCAGCTTGATCCTCCTGCCTTCGTGTTGAATGTGTATGAATTCTCCCAACCATCATGAATAACTCGTCTTTCGAATTGCCAAGGCCTACCCAACAGAGTATGTGTGTTTTTGCATTGGAACAATATCACATAGAACTTCATCTTGATACTTACCAATGCTGAATTTTAGACGCACTTATTTGTTAACCTTTACAACTTCATGTTTGTTGAGCCAGGTGAGGTGATAAGGTTTAGGATGCTTATGTATCTCCAATTCCAGCTTTTGTACTACATACGTACTTATCAAATTTGCACAACTTCCTCCATCGATCACCAAGGAAGCTAATTTTGTCTTTGACATTGCATCGACGGTGAAATAAACAGTATCTATGCTCGTCAGTTTATCGGTGCTTTAGAATGACTGCTGGCCGCTCCTCTTGGCCACAAAATTGACGCTGTTGGGCCTTGGAACTGCCATCCACCATCTCCTTCACTCCAACCACGTTTTCCATCGCGATTTAGTTACGGACAGCAGCTGGACTGTATGAAACAGGGGCTGCCCAGTTTTAAACACGAATTTTGCTTGTGAAGATATCGTCAACTGTTTCTCCTCCTTCGCCCTTGTGTAGAACCAAGCTCTGACACCAGTTGATATGACCTTGGGGGGTTGTATGTGATCAAAGTAACGCAGCTAATGACTCAATCGAAGGATCGATTGAGCTCGAATCAAGAATGAAACGTTCTTAATACGAACTTGGATAAAACGGAACCAAAAGGACAAATCCACACCTGGGGATAGCTCGATTGTATAAAAGGGTAATTGCTCGACCACGATTGAAGTGACAATTCAATTGATACACAAGCTCAGCAAGTTTGGAATCCACCAAACCAAAACAAGTCGCAACTTGCACAAACCAAACGATTTCGATTTCTGTTCAACAAAGTCTTTTTATTACAACGAAAACTAGTCCGATATTTTTTTATTTATGAATTATTTATTTATTTAATTTTTTTTGAAGGAGACACCCCAGTTAAAAATTTCTAGATCCGCCACTAGGTTGATGTGCCCTCTCCCTGGGAACGGCATCACCACCAGATGATAGCATACTTCCTTCGGTTCCATATCAGGAGAGCAATTCCTGCTGAAAATGAGAGAACTTGGTAGAACACTAGAAAAGGGTTCTCCTTATTTTCTCAAGATTAGAATATGTACCTCACAAAAGGGCAAAGCATGCTAGAAAAATGGTCAACTGGCTTGTGGAGCTAGCCACCTGCTACCTTGCTTTGTGCCTTTCTTGCTTAATGATCTTTAGACAAAGATCTTTATCCTTTATTTTATGTTATCATCCTTCCTCGTGATGTGCGAAGAAAAAAAAAACGCCTGTATTGTTGCTTACAGACATTCATCAACATCAACACTAACAAGCTTTGGAAACGTTTGAGATGAAGTCATCGAGGTTTCTATAAGAAGATCCACCTTCTGCAATTGCTTGCCTGCATATCAGCCCCAGCTCTTTGGCCCTCTTTCTCATTTCCCTAACCTCACTATTCTCTCTATCCATAAACCTCTTTACAACTTCACATATCTCACCTCTCGTCACCAACTCACCATCATTTATTCCCAACCCACCAGGATCTCTCCTCAACCTCCACACAATTCTCCATTTCTCAACAATCACCCTACTGTTGGGAACCTGATCGAAGATAATAGGGAAAGTAAGCATCGGAACACCCCCATAAACCGCTAAATAAAACCTAACCAATCAAACCAAATTACCCAGTTAAGTAATTATCCATATATCTAATATATATACACATATTAAATACTTGGCATAACCACTCAAGAGCCAATATTCCTTTATTTTAGGCTCATCAACAATAGAGTTCAATATTGTTCCTATAATGTATATTTGTAGTTGTAGAGAGTAGACCATGATATATGAACACCCAATTTAGATAAAACTCAAACAATATATTAGATGAAAACTTGCAAGGATGGTATTTTTCAACCTATGATAATTGCTAAGAGACTAATTCAATTTACACAATCACAACAATTAATTAGCTCCATGCTATTGACATATATTTTTGTTAGGTGAATACTTCTATCGATTGTAAGATAATTTTATTCGTTGAATGTATTTTTTTGGTAGGAGTTGCATGTATTTATGTAAGGGTTAACTATAACTATGTATTCATTGCTATGTTTTATTCACCATATAAATTGTGAATTGATGCATTAACCGAAAATTTTCTCACTTGATGACAATGTGATGTTATATTGGTTAATCTGGTTAACCAATTAACCAATCCGAATAAAATTTAGGTTGGTTAATTTGGTTGTTGTATTAGTTTGGACGGTTTGGTTATGATATTGTATTCTATGGTTAATAGAATTTTGACTTGTTTGGTTTGATAATTACCATGGTAGCCATTTGAACACCCCTAGAAGCAGGGTCAACATCAGCATGCCGTTTGTGGATGCACTGTCGAATATGCACAAGTACGCAAAATTCATGAAGGATCTCTTCACCAACAAAAAGAAACTTGGGGGATCTCTCGACAGTGATGCTAAGCGAGGAGTGTTCTGCGATCCTGCAGAACAAGCTTCCCGAGAAGCGCAAAGACCCAGTGAGTTTTACTATCCCTCTTGTTATTGGCAGCATGCATGTAGGAAAGTCCTTGGTGGACCTAGGCGCTAGTATTAATGTCATGCCCAATGCAGTCAAAATCGGGATTTTGATTGTAAAATCGTAGGATTTTAGGATTTTACTTAGGGATTCCGATCCTGATTTTACTATAAATTTGGTGGACCTTAAAATCGTTCAAAATCGTTAAAATTGTAGAATCGTACCAAAATCCGGATTTTGATCCTATGTGAACTAAATAGGGAGCTCGAGCCAATTCAAAAGAAGCAAAACTGTTTCGGTGGAAAGGGCAATGACGAGGATCTTCTCATATATTTTTCCTATTATAAGAACATTTGAAAAGAAGAAGAAAAACTAATTAGGGTTCGGCCAACCCCTTTCCCTTCTCCTTGTTTAACTCATCGGTAAAACCATTGTCAGAATATTGTAAGTGCGTAAGAATTAACATCATTATTAACAAATTATTTAATTAATGAATATATTTGTACAAAACCAATGAAATTAATTATTTTATTGGATTTCAATTATTCTTAGTTTTAAATCATACTTAGTAGACGATGTCGGAATACTACTTTGAGTTAAACTACCTAGACACAACATGAAAAACCAGAGCCAAACCCCATGAGCTCTATCCCTTCCTCATAAATTATTTTGAGTTACGCATTAAATAACAATTAAAATGATGATTTTGGAATATTAATCTTGAAAATTATCACTTTAAATGTTATAAGTCTTTGTGTTATTAATTATTTACCTTATTAGTATTGTTATATGTTAATTTCTATATGGTACTTAAAATCCTACGATTCTACGATTCCGATTTTACCCCAGTTTTCGATTTTAGGTAAAATCCCGATTTTAACTGCTTTGGTCATGCCTTATAAATTGTTTAAGAAGCTAGGCATAGGTGAACCTGAACCACTAGGATGAGTATTTAGTTTGCTGATCGGTCGATTGTGCATCCTAGGGGTATCATAGAGGACTTCCTTGTTAATGTTCGTGAATTAACATATCCTGTTGATTTTGTTATTCTGGATATAAATGAGGATGTGGATGTGGATTTTCCTTTGATTTTGGGTAGACCATTTCTCGCCACCGCCAAGGCGTTGATTGATGTGCATAGTGACAAGTTAATTTTGGGCTGGGGATGAACAAGCTACATTTTCTGTGTCTCACAATGTGAAACATTCCCATATGCATGATGACTTGGATTACTATGACATGCATGCTGATTTTGAAACCGCACTCGCCATCATGAGTGCGGGTACTGACGATGCCCTTGAGCGTTGTATTTTTCTAGGTGAGCAGGCATCGCAGGAGCTGCAGCTTGAGGAGTAGTTGGCCGCTCTAGAGCGTGGCAAGTTTTTGGAGGTCGAGAAACCGTTCAAGCCGATCTCATCCTCGACTAGCATTACCACCTCTCTGGAGGAGCCACCAGAACTGGAGCTGAAGCCCCTTCCTCCTCATTTGGAGTATGCATGTCTCCGGGAGGGGAACAAGCTTCCAATCATCATCAGCTCGACCCTCACACCAGAGCAAAAGACCAGACTGGTGGCCCTGTTGAAGCAGTACGAGCGAGCTCTGGCATGGAAGATCATCGATATCCGGGGGATCAGCCCTTCCTTCTGTTCCCATTGGATATTGTTGGAGGATGAGATCCGGACGGTGCGACAGCCTCAACGGAGATTGACACCGAACCTGGAGGTTGTGATTCGAGCGGAGATTATCATGTTGATGGACGCGGGAATCATTTTCACCATTTCTGACAACGAGTGGGTCAGTCCCACTCAATTGTTTCCTAAGAAGGGTGGGATGACTGTGGTCCCAAATGAGAAGAATGAGCTCATCCAGATGCGCACGGTGACCGGGTATTACGTTTTCATCGACTATCGCCACCTTAATGACGCTACCCCGAAGGATCACTTCCCTCTGCCATTCATTGACCGGGCATGAGTTCTATTGTTTCCTGGATGGGATGTCCGTGTATTTTCAGATTCCCATAGCACCGGAAGACCAGGTGATAACGTCGTATTTGCACATGTTTGCACCCTCGTTTCTTGATCATTTTGGCTTGAGTTTTGATTTCTTGGACTATTTTACGCTAGGTTGTGTTCCTTTGTCATATTTCAGGTCCTAGCATGTAAAGTGAAGCCTAGGCGCAAGTTTCAAGTCAATCAGAGATCAAATGGCGACTCGGGGTGAGAAACTCGTGAATGACTTGAGGAAGAATGGACTTTTACCTCATTTTATGGACAAAATATCATGAAAGGTTGTCAAGAAAAAAAGAGGACAAGACTACGAGCATCTGGGATCAAACGACAACTGAATCAGAGGTCAAACGAGCTCAAACGAGATCAACGAAGCTTAAGAGTGCATGCTGGAAATTGTGCACCACCTTCTAAAATTCTGCACGGCCGTGTGAGTTTCACAGGGGGTTGGCACGGCCAAAACGTCAATTTGCACGGCCGTGCAAGTAGGGGGGTGCGAGTTTCAGCAGCTATAAAAGCTATTTTGCGATTTTTGGAGAGGGGGAGTTGGGTTTTGGATCCCAAACACCCAAGGGACAAACCAAAGAGAGAGAGAGGGCGATGTAAAGCCATTCTTGGAGCTATCTTGGAGGATTCTTCACCATTCAAGCTCAAGGAACAAGTCTAGACATAAAGATTGAAGATCTGGAAAGTTATACAACAATCTCTCTCTTCTCTATGGAATAACTTCCCTTCACTTAGGTTTTGAGGAACCCTAGTTCCATGTGTTAGGATCTTTCTTATATGAAGTTTTGGATGCTCTATTGTGGGATTATAATCGATTGAGGCATGATTTATTGAGTCAATTGAATCCTAATCAAATTCTCTCGATTTCTGCTTTAACCTATGATAGATAGAATCTGATTATGTTAAGAGAGCTTCCTTGATTGATAGTAGTGAATTGGTTGTGCGAGAGTCAGTCAATTCATTGCTTTGTACTGGAATTCATTCCATATTGTGGAGATCTGTGTGAATTGCCTTAGCAGTCTATTCCGGTGAAGGCTAGTCGCCTGTCGGGTATTCTGTCTGAGTGGGCTTGGTCAGTTTAAGAGATTCCAAGCTAAATTAGGATCTTCCACAGTTTAATCAACAGTAAAACAACCAAAAGAAATTACAACTTAGACCTAATTGAGGAGCTAGGGGGAATCATACCTAAGTGAGTTCCCAACCTGTAATTAGTAGAGTAGTTGGAAGATTAGTTTAGTAAATCAATCCTTAATCTAGTTTGCTAGATAATGAACTGAAGCTGAGTAATAGTAACTCTAGAAACCCATGGATTCGATATTTATCACTTGTGCCACTATACTGATTTCCCTTGCATTGGTTATACTTGGCCATTGTTAGGTGTTGTGTCGTAGAGCAGATTATCCTCATCTTTATGAGTATGATTACTCTGATTTCTGTTTTCCTCTCTCGCTATGGAGTAGAATCTTCTCTCACTTGGGTATGAAGAACCCTAGTTCCATGTGTTAGGAATATCGATTGTAATGACTTGGGATTGATATACTGATTGGTTATAATCGATTGATGCGATATTCCATTATGTTTGCATGTGAATGTTTGGTTGTTTGTGTATGTTTGGAGCCTAGTCCACTATCCAAATTTGTATTTAAGGGCTCCAAGCATGTGCTCCTTGCAACTGCCTGCTCAGTATGCTTTGAATTGACAGTCTTTATAGTAATATGCAACCTAGGGAGGTAGTGTAGCACTGTGGAGGACGTTGATGCATTTAAGAAGTCTCCTTTTTTCTTCATATTGTATTGGTTGATTGTGTGAATTAGTGATCATAGGACCCTTGAATTGTGTGGTATTGTGGACTCTCTACTTGTCATGGACTCTTGTATCATGTTTTGAAATAAAAGGTGATCGGATATGTGCTTTAAAATAATGTCTCCCGTGCGAATAGGACCAAAGTGTGTAATGGGAGACGCGAATCCGTTCCCGACTTCCACCTACTACCTCCATCCCCCTTAGATTTGTTTCCCCCGCACAAGGCTCGAGTCATCTACTCCCGGCATGGCCGGTAAGAGCTGCTCCGGGCATGGCCAGTAAGAGTCGGGCTCCCTTAAAACCTTCAATAGGTGGTATCCCCGTTTTCTGGAAATAACAGGTTGGGACCCTTGGAAAAAACAAACAACAAAACAAAGAAAATGAAAAAAGGGTTCCAACCATCTTTAAAAGAAAAAAAATAGAGCACCTAAAAAAGTGAGTCCATGACCTTTCTGTTTTTTAGAGTCTCTTTGTCCACGAATCACTTGTCCTCCGATCATTACTTGTCATGATCACAACTCGGCACTAGAGTTCTCGCCGAAGAAGCTAGGAGGTGTCTTGTGCGTTGGTTGACCTCGTAAGCAGCTAAATGACTTAGAACGTCCTCTACCAACGATCGTGGTTGCATGTTTATATAAAGGTCTGGATAGTTGCATTGGTTTGAGTCAGGATTGCTTGGGGACAAGCAAATGGTTAAGTGTGGGAGAATTTGATAACGTCGTATTTGCCTATGTTTGCACCCTCTTTTCTTGATCATTTTAGCTTGAGTTTTTTTATTTATTGGACTATTTTACGCTAGGTTGTGTTCCTTTGTCATATTTCAGGTCCTAGCATGTAAAGTGAAGCCTAGGCGCAAGTGTCAAGTCAATCTGAGATCAATTGGCGACTCGGGGTGAGAAACTCGGGAATGACTTGAGGAAGAATGGATTTCTACCACATTTTATTTACAAAGGATCATGAAAGGTTGTCATTAAAAGAAAGAGGACAAGACTACGAGCATTTGGGATCAAATGGCACCTGAATCGGAGGTCAAACGAGGTCAAACGAGATCAACAAAGCTTAGGAGTGCATGCTGGAAATTGTGCACGGGCGTGTAAAATTATGCACGGCCGTGTTAGTTCCCAGGGGGTTTGCACGGCCAAAACTTCAATTTGCACGGCCCTGCAAGTAGGGGGTGCGAGTTTAAGCGGGTACAAAAGCTGTTTTGCGATTTTAGGAGAGGGGGAGCTGGGTTTCTGATCCCAAACACCCAACGGACAAACCAGAGAGAGAGAGAGAGAGAGAGAGAGAGAGAGAGAGAGAGAGAGAGGGCGATCTAGATCTATTCTTGGAGCTATCTTGGAAGATTCTTCACCATTGAAGCTCAATCAAAAAGTCTAGACATGAAGATTGAAGATCTGGAAAGTTATAATGCAATCTCTCTTTTCTCTATGGAATAACTTCCCTTCACTTAGGTTTTGAGAAACCCTAGTTCCATGTGTTAGGATCTTTCATGTATGAAGTTTTGGATGATCTATTGGGTGATTATAATCGATTGAGGCATGATTTATTGAGTCAATTGAATCTTGATCAAATTCTCTTGATTTCTGCTTTAACCTATGATAGATAGAATCTGATTAGGTTAAGAGAGCTTCCCTGATTAATAGTAGTGAATTGGTTGTGCGAGAGTCAGTCAATTCATAGCTTTGTACTGGAATTCATTCCATGTAGTGGAGATCTGTGTGAATCGCCTTAGCAGTCTATTCCGGTGAAGGCTAGTCGCCTGTCGGGTATTCTGTCTAAGAGGGCTTGGTCAGCTTAAGAGATTCCAAGCTAAATTAGGATCTTCCGCAGTTTAATCAACAGTAAAACAACCAAAAGGAATTACAACTTAGACCTAATTGAGGAGCTAGGGGGAATCATATCTAAGTGAGTTCCCAACCTGTAATTAGTAGAGTAGTTGGAAGAGTAGTTTAGTAAATCAATCCTTAATCTAGTTTGCTAGATAATGAACTGAAGTTGAATAATAGTAACTCTAAAGACCCGTGGATTCGGTATTTATTACTTGTGCCACTATATTGCAGTCCCTTACATTGGTTACACTTGGCCATTGTTAGGTGTTGGGTTGTAGCGTGTCATGTTTTTGGCACCGTTGCAGGGGAACTTTCTAGATTATTAGGAAAGGCAGAAGTTTGTTACTTTAGCATTTTCCTTGCTTTTCACTTGGGTGTTTTAATTTTTGTTGGTGCAGATCTGAATCATGGATCCTAATGGCTTCTCCAACTAGTGGGGGTATCCACCACCATCTGAGTGGTATTACCCCGAGACTTCCTGGAGCATTCAAGGTGGAGAAGACTATGGATTCGGGTTCCAGTACCAACCCCCTTAATACGGAGAACAATCAGACCCCTGGGCATATCAAGAACAATCTCCTTATCAAGAAGAATTTCTCCCACAACCAGAAGGGCCATCAGATCTGGAGTTAGCCATGGAAGCCTTCACGGGCCATCCGGCAGAGCCATGCTACACTCCACAGCCGGATCCAAACTATCATTTGAGGATTCTCGTGGAGTAGATTGCTCGAGTACCTAAGAGATCCTTTCCCGAGATGGATCCTCATATCCAGGCCATTGCCCAAACTGACTTCTTCTTTCCCCGTGAAACAGAGGATACTCTTCGGAGCATAAAGAAGCACATAGAGGTCATTGAGAAAGCTTGTTCACAGTTTTCTCAAGACAACCTTTATGCTGCCATACAAGTAGAGGTGGAGGAAAAAGAAGGCAATCATGAGGATGTTGAGGAGCATACAGAAGTTGTCACGGAAAGCTCCCATGATAATCACGATCAAGTGTATCCTCTGGTGGTAGATCACAGCTTTCCCCATTTCCGCTCTAACATGCTGGGTCCGAGCGAGGAGATGCAAGCTGAACTTATTGAGAACCTTGCATGGCAACTTGCTCTCCAATCCGTTATGGAATAAGAAGAGAGAGAAAGGGGTGGGGCAAGAAGTTGTGGAGGATGAGGAAGAAATCAAATAAGAGGAAGTTCTTGATCTTTTCCAAGGAGAGAGACCACATTTTGAAGAAGGAAGGGGGGTTGAAGAAGCGAGTGGTGTCCAGGCTGAGGATGAAGTTGAGGTGGAAGAGGCTTGCACCGGCCGTATAATACAAGTAATATCCCCACCAAACTTCGAGGAACTTCTTAGCAAGGACCCATTTGCAGTGTCTCTTTGCCAGACCAAGGCCACATCGACATCGTTCCCTCTTAGTGGACGCGATGATGGTCAGTCGATACGGTTATATTTGGTTTGGGGCAATGAGACAAGAGAATAAACAAAGATGAGGTCTCGAGGGTGGAGACTTCAGCTGCATCAAGTGCACGAGCCTTCATCACCAGCCACACCACCTGCTAGTGACTTGAGACTCCACCTCATAAATGAGAACCTCAACTTCAAAGAGGTTCTAGCATGGACCGAAACTTAGGAGCTACCATCCGGCTAACGACGTGAAAGAAGCGCTTGTTGGGAGGCAACCCAACCAGTAGGGGTGCACTTTATTTCCCTATGTCCCTTCGGTTGAGTCAGTTTGTCTTTTGATTTTAGAGTCAATTACTCACCCTTTGTGAGATTTTGTGTGGTGTTTATGTTCTGACTGCTCTCTCTCCTCCTGAAATGCACCGTCTGGCGCTTCCACCATCATTCACACTTGATCTGGTACCTTCGTTGTGGGGGGATGTTCCATTATGTTTGCATGTGAATGTTTGGTTGTTTGTGTATGTTTGGAGCCTAGTCCACTATCCAAATTTCGATTTGAAGGCTCCAAGCACGTGCTCCTTGCAACTGCCTGCTCAGTATGCTTTGAATTGACAGTCTTTATAGTAATATGCAACCTAGGGAGGCAGTGTAGCACTATGGAGGATGTTGATGCATTTAAGAAGTCTCCTTTTTTCTTCATATTGTGTTGGTTGATTGTGTGAATTAGTGATCTTAGGACCCTTGAACTGTGTGGTATTGTGGACTCTCTACCTGTCATGGACTCCTATATCATGTTTTGAAATAAAAAGGTGATCGGAAATGTGCTTCAAAATAATGTCTCCTGTGCGAATAGGGCGAAAGTGTGTAAGGGGAGACTGGAATCCGTTCCCAACTTCCACCTACTACTTCCAGCCCCCTTACATTTCTTTCCCCCGCACAAGGCTCGAGACATCTACTCCCGGCATGGCTGATAAGAGATGCTCCTGCCATGGCCAGTAAGAGCGGGCTCCCTCAAAACCTTTAATAGGTGGGAAACCTGTTTTCTGGAAATAACATGTTGGGACCCTTGGAAAAAACAAACAACAATACAAAGATAAGGAAAAAATGGGGTTCCAACCATCTTTAAAGGAAAAAAAATAGAGCACCTAAAAAAGTGATTCCATGACCTTTCTGTTTTTTAGAGTCTCTTTGTTCACGAATCACTTGTCCTCCGATCACAACTTGGCATGATCCCGACTAGGGACTAGAGTTCTCGCCGAAGAAGCTAGGAGGTGTCTTGTGCATTGGTTGACCTCGTAAGCGGCTAAATGACTTAGAACGTCCTCTACCGACGATCATGGTTGCATGTTTCTATAAAGGTCTAGAGAATTGCATCGGTTTGAGTCAGGTTTGCTTGGGGACAAGCAAACTGTTAAGTGTGGGGGAATTTGATAACGTTGTAATTGCACATGTTTGCACCCTCGTTTCTTGATCATTTTGGCTTGAGTTTTTGATTTCTTGGACTATTTTACGCTAGGTTGTGTTCCTTTGTCATATTTCAGGTTCTAGCATGTAAAGTGAAGCCTAGGCGCAAGTTTCAAGTCAATCGGAGATCAATTGGCGACTCGAGGTGAGAAACTCGGGAATGACTTGTGGAAGAATGGATTTCTACCTAATTTTATTAACAAAGGATCATAAAAGGTTGTCATGAAAGGAAAGAGGACAAGAATACGAGCATCTGGGATCAAACGACACCTGAATCGGAGGTCAAACGAGATCAACAAAGCTTAGGAGTGCATGCTGGAAATTGTGCACGGCCATGTAAAATTCTGCACGACCGTGTGAGTTTCCCAGGGGATTTTTTCACGGACATAGACTTCCAAAGTCCGTGCTGCGTCTTGAGGTGCACTCATTCCTCAACACCATCCTTTCTGCATACGCATGCCAACTGGTTTCGCCCTGCCTTGGGATCATCAGGGAGACACAATATCCTCCGACCACTTGTGCCTTCTCTTGCAACGATCCCCTTCATAGCCACATCATGACTCGGCCAGATGCGATGGACAGGCAGACAATGCCTTATAGCTAATGTCACCCCATTTACCCTTCTCATGGCAAGACAACCAGATGGCAGTGTTCCTCAGACGATCAACACGATCACGACATTTCGGGTCGTGACATTCTCCACCACTCATAATACAGCACGTCCTCGTGCTGGTGAAGAATGCTTCTCTTCACAGCATGTATTGAAACTCTCAAACCGATTGTGGGCGTCCGTATACGATACCATCCTCTGATGGACAAGTTCCGGTCCTCGCGCTAGCCTGATGTGCCCCGCGCACACACCGCTTTGCCCCTCGACGTCAACCTTCACTCTTTGCTTCTACTGTGCTAGTACCTCAGTCGACCTTCACCCTACGCTACTCCCAGCGTTTGTACCTCAATCGACCTTCACCGTACGCTCTCGCTAGCGTTAGTTCCTCGGTTGAACGACATTCTCGGCCGCTGCATCTTCAGCCTGTCGAGGTCCCCCACAATGGCGCAACACATGTGTATCTGCGTCCAGACCTCCTGATATGCACACCCAGGACCGCCTCTCATTCGGGCATAGGATCGGCCCATACACGACCTATGCCATACTGAGAGAGGAAATAGGGTCTTCAGCCTAACCAAACTCTTATACCACTTGTCACGGACATAGACTTCCGAAATCCGTGCTGCGTCTTGAGGTGCACTCATTCCTCAAGGCCAACCTCTCTGCATACGCATACCAACTGGTTTTGCCCTGCCTTGGGCTCATCAGGGAGACGACAATAGCCTTCGACCAGTTGTGCCTTTTCTTGCAATGATCCCTTTCATAGCCACATCCTGACTCGGCCAGATGCGATGCACAGGCAAACAACGCCTTATAGCTAATGTCGCCCCCTTTTCCCTTCTAATGGAAAGACAACCAGATGGCAACGTTCTTCAGACGATCAACACGGTCACGACATTTCGGGTCGTGACAGTTTGCACGACCAAAACCTCAATTTGCACGGCCATGCAAGTAGAGGGTGCGAGTTTCAGCAGGTATAAAAGCTGTTTTGCAATTTTTGGAGAGGGGGAGCTGGGTTTTGGATACCAAATACCCAAGGGACAAACCAAAAAGAGAGAGGGCGATTTAGAGCCATTCTTGGAGCTATCTTAGAGGATTCTACACCATTGAAGCTCAAAGAACAAGTCTAGACATGAAGATTGAAGATCTGGAAAGTTATATTGCAATCTCTCTCTTCTCTATGGAATAACTTCCCTTCACTTAGATTTTGAGGAACCCTAATTCCATGTGTTAGGATCTTCCTTGTATGAAGTTTTGGATGCTCTATTGTGTGATTATAATCGATTGAGGCATGATTTATTGAGTCAATTGAATCTTGATCAAATTTTCTCGATTTCTTCTTTAATCTATGATAGATAGAATCTGATTAGGTGAAGAGAGCTTCCTTGATTGATAGTAGTGAATTGGTTGTGCGAGAGTCAGTCAATTCATAGCTTTGTACTGGAATTCATTCCATGTAGTGGAGATCTGTGTGAATCGCCTTAGCAGTCTATTCCGGTGAAGGCTAGTCGCCTGTCGGGTATTCTGTCTAAGAGGGCTTGGTCAGCTTAAGAGATTCCAAGCTAAATTAGGATCTTCCGCAGTTTAATCAACAGTAAAACAACCAAAAGGAATTACAACTTAGACCTAATTGAGGAGCTAGGGGGAATCATACCTAAGTGAGTTCCCAACCTGTAATTAGTAGAGTAGTTGGAAGAGTAGTTTAGTAAATCAATCCTTAATCTAGTTTGCTAGATAATGAACTGAAGCTGAGTAAAAGTAACTCTAGAGACCCGTGGATTTGATATTTATTACTTGTGCCACTATGCTGCAGTCCCTTGCATTGGTTACACTTGGCCATGGTTAGGTGTTGTGTCGTAGCGTGTCACCAGGCGAAGACCACCTTCACCTACCCTTTTGGCACATTTGCTTGCCGGAGGATCCCATTCGGGATTTGCAATCCCCCAGCCACCTTCATGTGGTGTATGCTCGCCATCTTCGATCGTCTGGTCGGAGAAATCATGGAGTTGTTCATGGACGATTTTTAGGTTTATGGAAACTCATTCTCTCACTGTCTCCATAACCTGGAACTCGTCCTGAAAAGGTATGAGGAGACGAACTTGGCGCTGAGTTTGGGAGAAGTGCCATTTCATGATTCGTGAGGGCATAGTTCTGGGGCACAAGATCTCCAAGATGAAGATAGAGGTGGACACAGCCAAGATCGAGAAATCAACAAGTTGCATCCTCCTACATCTGTCAAGTGGATTTGCAGTTTCTTGGGTTATGCATGATATGATCCCAATTGGATCAATCCACAATTCACAATTACTTGTCAAAGAAGCCATCTCAACTTACAAGAAGAATTCTGATTTTTGGCCAAGTGTTGGGACAGTTTCGAGATACCTACTTTGGAGGCATGGTTCTCTCAATTGGCTTGGTGGAAATTCAAGTTTAAGAGTTTGTTTTGCAAATAAAGTTGCCATGTTTCCAATGGTATTCTTTTTGGATCCAGATGATGTCATTAGGATTGTTAGTTTCATGTTGTGGAAGCCTTTGGACTTGAATCAGATCCATGCTCCTTGAATTGAGCTCCAAAGTAGGCTTCACAAAACAGTTTTCTGCCTTAACCATTTTCTGGCAGTTTTCTAGTTTTGAGGTAGCAACTTTGAGTCCTTGGAAAACAACCTTAATGACATCATCTGGATCCAAAAAGAATACCATTGGAAACATGGCAACTTTATCTGCAAAACAAACTCTTAACCTTGAATTTCCACCAAGCCAATTGAGAGAACCATGCCTCCAAAGCATGTATCAGAGCCTGGTTTTTTATAAACATACCTAGTTTCATGTTGTGGGAGCCTTTGGACTTGAATCAGATCCATGATCCTTGAATTGAGCTCCAAAGTAGGCTTCACAAAATAGTTTTCTGCCTTAACCATTTTCTGGCAGTTTTCCAGTTTTGAGGTAGCAACTTTGAGTCCTTGGAAAACAATCTTAATGACATCGTCTGGATCCAAAAAGAATACCATTGGAAACATGGCAACTTTATCTGCAAAACAAACTCTTAATCTTGAATTTCCACCAAGACAATTGAGAGAACCATGCCTCCAAAGTAGGTATCTCGAAACTGTCCCAACACTTGGCCAAAAATCAGAATTCTTCTTGTAAGTTGAGATGGCTTCTTTGACAAGTAATTGTGAATTGTGGATTGATCCAATTGGGATCATATCAATGCAAGGTTCTATAGGCGGTTCATCAAGGACTTCTCGAAGATCGCCTTGCCCCCAAAGAAGCTCCTTGAGAAGGATTCCCCCTTCCATTTCACTGTCGCGTGCACAACAGCATTCACGACCTTGAAGGAGAAGCTAACTCATGCTCCTATCATGGTTACTCCCGATTGGACCTTACCATTCAAGGTGATGTGAGACCCAAGTGACTTTACATTTGGAGCTCTCCTAGGGTAGAGGCGAGACCAGTATTTTCGGCCTATCTACTACGCATCGAAGACCCTCAATGACGCCCAAGAAAACTACACCACCTCGGAGAAGGAGCTGTTACAGTGGTGTTTGCCTTCGACAAGTTTTACCCTATCTGGTCTTGTCCAGCGTGATAGTGTACACAGATCACTCCGTCATAAGATACCTGATGAGCAAGGCCGATGCCAAGCCTCGGCTCATACGATGGATCTTATTATTTCAGGAGTTCGACATCGAGATCCGGGACAAAAAGTAGCCGAAATGTTGCTGCTGATCATCTCTCGCGGTTGGACGCACCTCCTGCAGACAACCTCGATGAGGAGATCAACGACTCCTTTCCAGATGAGCGATTGATGATGATGTGCTTAGTGGAGAGTGTCACCCCTTGGTTCTCCGATTTCGCACACTATCTGGTGGGCCAGCACCTGCCCAAGGGGATTTCGCACACTATCTGGGATGACCCGCATCTTTTCAAGATTTGAGCCGACAGGGTCATCCGTCGCTGTGTCATGGAAAATGAGATGGAGGGTATTTTGTCTCATTGCCATGCGGGACCTACTGGCGGGAACCATGGCGGCAACCGCACAACGAGGAAGGTACTACAGTCGGGCTTCTACTGGCCATCGCTCTTCAAGGATGCCGACACCTTCGCACGTCGGTGTGGCCGATGCCAGAGGTCAGGTAACATCTCTGCCCATGATGAGATGCCCTAGAATGTGTTTATTACTTGTGAAATTTTTGATGTCTGGGGTATCTATTTTATGAGCCGCTTCCCTCCATAATTTGGTAATCTATACATCTTAGTTGCTGTGGATTACGTCTCTAGGTGGGCTGAAACGCAAGCTTTGCCAACCAATGATGCTAGACGTGTTTGCCAATTTCTTAAGAAGTTGTTCTCCCAGTTCGGGACGCCTAGAGCCATCATTAGCGATAAAGGCACCCCTTTTTCAAGGCCAATTCGATAAACTCATCTCTCGCTATGGTGTCACTCAAAAGGTCTCTGTGGCCTACCACCCCCAAACTAGTGGTCAGGCCAAACTGACGAATCGGGAGCTTAAGCGCATTATTGAGAAAACGATGGATCAATCTCGCAAGGATTGGTCCACCAAGCTCGATGATGCTCTCTGGGCATACCGAACTACCTACAAAACGCTGATCGGTACTTCGCCGTATTGGCTTGTCTATGGAAAGGCATGTCACCTACCTGTTGAGCTAGAGCACAAGGCCTTCTGGGCCCTTAAGCAGCTCAACTTGGATGTAAGTCTTGCAGGTTATGAACGCAAGATGCAGATGCTAAAGCTGAAGAAATGGCATCATCACGCCTATGAGAACACCAAGTTGTACTTGGAGCGAACTAAGAATCTTCACGACGCTCAATTGAGGGACCCGAAGGAGTTTCAGGTTGGCGATCGATTTTATTCTCTATAACTCTCTCCTGAAACTCTTTCCTGGAAAGTTCCGCTCTCGGTGGTCTGGACCGCTCACGGTCACGCAGGTGTTCCCGTATGGCACTATCGAGATTGCCAACCCGCACTAAGCCGTTTAAAGTGAATGGTCATCATCTCAAGCTATATCCGGGGAGACAAGGTCGGACATGCGGAGTTGGTGGTTGAACTCACGGACCCTTAGTTCCACTGGCTACGTCTAGCTACAGACGTAAAAGAAAACGCTTGTGGGTAGGCAACCCCACCACGGTTTGCATTTCTTGTTCCCTTTTCCCTTTGATTTTTGGTCTGTTCATGTTAGTTTGTGCTTGTATGATGAAGTTCGGTCATATGGTCTACCTTCGCTTGGGGTCATCTGGCTCAGGGAGTTCGAAAAATGACAAAAAACCTGAGTTTGGCCAAAAAGGGGCTAATACGCGATCGTGGGCTCCAATACCCGACATGCTATTTTGGCTTTAAGGACGGGCCCTCCTTCTGGTCATGGGGCGGGCAAAAGGGAAATATACCCGGCTGCGAGCCTTAAATACCCGACCGGGCACTTCCTCTACTTAATAAAAAACCCAACCACACCCTTTCTCTCTCCTCTCATTTTTCCAAAACCCCCTCTCTCTGCCTCCTCTCTTCCTCTCCCAACCTCTCATCGGAGCGCGCCTTCCAGCCACTTTTTTGTAGATCGGTCTATACGAACTCCAAATTGAAATCCGATCGCGGATTCGGGATCTACACTGCGGGGCGCCCCTCCTCCAGAAATTTCACCCCGCTTGGGTGATGTTCAAATTTTCTGGTCTCCGCCGCTGCTGTACCCTCACCGCCGGAGCAGATTTTCTACATGATTTCGCGTCCCTCGCCCTCTACTCGCGTATTTTTACAATCCTACTTGTGTTTCCAGGTGTGTGTCTTGAATATTTTTTGTTGTTTCTGGAAAATGGGACTGTAGATATTAGGCATGATGTGGCCTGATTGGCATGATTAAACTAGGATAGGGTGAGGGATGTCGTTGATGTGGCCTTCTAGTACAGATTAGGTGCCTGATTACCTGTATGCTTCTATTTTACCATGATTCATGCTTAATTTGTGGTTGTTTTTCCGTGTTCTTAGTGTGAATCGACTACTTTGTGCTTGACTGCTTACCTAGGTGATCCTTAAGTGTGGGGTACTGCAGAGCCCCTGCTTGCGGTCCTAACGTGATTTTCTCTTAGTGCCACCTTTGGTTTGATTATTTTGCAGGATCATGTCTCTCGCTCACCCATACGTTCAGGACCTGCGCCTTCACGTTGATTTTGCTGACCTGTTCGCCAGGGTCATCAACGGGGTATTTCACCACCACCATCACCTCGAGTTTGGGGTCTTCCACCAGCTCCACGGCATCGATGAGATGCCTGATACCATCTGCCACCCTCACTGGCGGGTTCTCTTGACCACCAGAGATTCCACCTACATGGAGCTAGTCTAGGAGTTCTAATCCACCTTCAAGTACCGGCCCTAGGCGGCTCGCGACTCCACCACCGACGTCACTTTCCGGTTTGGGGGTCACATGTGACATATGAGCATCAACGGGTTAGATCATGCCTTAGGGATTCATTACCATCCATACTCCCGACTCCAGAAGGAGGTCCCCAATCCCACCGACTTCAACAAGGATGATTTCTATCGCCGCATCACCCGTCCTGACTTTAGGCAGGGGTTGTTCGAGGCCAGCCAGATGACTGTCTCCACCATCCGACCTAAGTGGCACATCATCAACTAACTGCTCACCCTTTCATTCACCCCCAATGTCACTGGATCACACAAGATACCGAAGCGTGTGCTCTACGCCATGTACTCCATGGGGAATCCCAACCACATGCTACACTTGGGGTCTCTCGTGGCGACAACCTTTGCCTGGTGCCACAGAGCATGGCAGCTCCTCTCCTCTCAGCAGGGATGTGCTTCACAACACACTCCTATTACCCTATGCTGAAGCGGGGGATTGGGTCGACGGGTTGTCCATGCCTCCAATTGAGGACAAGGATGACGAGGATGATGATGACTATATTGGGGAGAAGGACGACGACGCAGATGACAATGATGATGATGATGGGGCTATGGACGCAGATGAGCCGGAGCCCCCACTCCCCCAGGGGATCTTCTTCCACGAAGGAGACCCAGATGAGACCAGTCCTCCCCCGGACCTTCTGTTCCATTGATGGATTTCTTCACCCAGTAGTTCCACCAGATGGGGCTCCAGTTCGAGCAGCTTGGGCTCCTAAACCAGCAGCTCATGGACCACCAACACCAGTTTCAGCAGCAATATTCAGCCTACCAGGCTGAGTACGCCACCAGAATGGCTGCGTTTGACGAGCGCCTCAATCGTATCGAGGCTTAGCAGGGTGTTACTGATAGCGATGTATTTGCACATGTTTGCACCCTTAGTTCTTATCCGTTTGCGGCGAGTAGTCGTGTATTTTTGGCCCGTTTTACGTCGGGTTGTGCTACTTTGTCATATTTCAGGTCCCAGACGTCGAAGGAAAGGCTAAGCACGAGTTTTGGGGCATTTGTAAGTCATTCGGTCGAGTTGGGGCCAAAGCACAGGCTTGCCTAAACCAAAACACGGTCGTCAAGTTTTTGGTGCCGTTGTCGGGGACGGCTAGGTTGTTGAAGAAACGTGAATTCTGTTAATTTAGCTTTTCTTTTCGCATTGTTTGCTTTGTCCCACTTGTGCATTCACGGGTTTGCTGATTGACTGTGTGCAGGTAGTGCATGACCCGTAGCCAGTCAGGAGGTTTACTGTTGTTGGATCCGGAGCTTGAACGCACCTGTCGCCAACTTAGGAGACAACAGCGAGCTAGACTAGCTACGGAGGAGCGCATAGACGGCCATTTGAGCAGAGAGTCCGAGGAAGAGTACGAGATGGAAGGAGATCACAATCCACACTAGGGGAATCCTCACCAGGTTCCCCTAGTGAATCAGATCTTGGGGAACAACCCCATACCCCAGACAGATGGGGTTCATCATCATCCACCGCCGCCGGGTCCCACCTTGGAGTACTACTACACTCCAAGGATTGTTGACATCCGTTCTGTCATCTTCTACCCGCCCATTCCAGCGAACAACTTCTAGATCAAGCCATGCTGGATTCAACTCATTACATCCTCTATCCAGTTTCATGGCTTGAAGGATGAGGAGGCAAGGGTGCATCTTTCCCGTTTTCTGCAGCTAACGAACGGGTTCAAGCTAAACGGTGTCCCTGATGACGCAATCCGCCTTCACCTCTTCCCCCATTCTCTGGCGAGGAATGCTAAGAGGTGGTTGGAGACCCAGCCCCCATTGTCCATCACTTCTTGGGACGATCTGGGCAACAAGTTCGTGCACAGGTACTATCCGGCATCAAAGACCACAGAGATCCAGCAGGAGATCACTCACTTCCGCCAAGAGCCAGACGAGTCACTTCGTGATGCATGGGAGCGGTACATGGGATTTTTCTGGCAGTGTCCCCATCATGGCTTCAGTGATGCATTCACCGTGGGGAACTTCTTGACTCACTTCTACTGTCACTCTAGGAATTGGCCAAGTGAAACCACTTCCTAAAGTGTAGTATAGCGGGTTTGGGTTTAAATGTCAACCCGGGTCCTAGATTTGATGACTACTCGGTGAATTCTTGTTATCTAGCAATGAAACTTTAATGCAAGTCTAAACTAACAACCAAGCAAAGCAACTAAACGGTTGTATTCAGGTTAAGAGAGGTCACCCGGATATGGTTCCCCCTAGACTGCAGTTAAGCTGGATTGCAATTACCAAGTTCGGTTTCTATGATAGTTATACTGCGGAAGGTTCTTAAACATCCTAAAGTCTCGACTAAAGGTCTTCAGACCCTCTCAATCTGAGTCTCTAGCGGGCGACTAACCTCCACCGGAGTAAACAGATTGAGGCCCTAACGAACAAAACCTCCACTACCGAAGTAAATTCGGTACAGAATAGTGAGTTGGCTCCTCGACTAAAGTCACCAACTCCCTACCTTCAATCAAGGATGCTCTATCAACCTAGGCAGATATTCTCATTCTAGTTAAAGCAGAAACAACAGGAATTTGATCAGGATTCATGCCATTCAATCATTCAAACCTCAATTGAATATAATCAAATCATAGAATCAGTACTTGGGTTCATACAATCAAACCTAACATACAAATCTGCTCTCCATACCCAGATGAATGGGAGAACTACTCCATGGAGAAAGAAGCAAAGCAGAATTAGACGCGGAATTCATACTATGAAGGATGGATTCCTGCTGGACGTTGATCGGCACTTCTCCAAGCTCGAACTGGCCTCCAATGGTGATGAAAATCAAGCTAGGGCACTTGGAGACTCTTGTTTGTCGCTTTCTCTCTCTAGGAATCGATCTCTCTCTCTAAAACTCGAATCCCCTTCTCTTTTGGCTGAAATCTGCTTAAAAGGGCATCACTGGGAAAAGCACGGTCGAGGGCACGACCGTGCTTTGCTCCAGGCCGCCCGTGCTTTGGCTAGAGTTAATTACACGACCAGCTTGCTGGGAGAAACACGGTCGTGCTTTTGGGTGGACACGGCCGTGTAATTCTCAGCCTTGCCCGTGTTTTCAGCTCGTGATTGCCAAACTCAAATCAGCTCTCGGCAGTAAAAGCACGGCCTAGGAACACGGCCGTGTTCTGATTTAGGTGTGCCCGTGTTTTGGCTCCAGCTCCACCGAATGACTTCTGAATGCCCCGAAACTCGTGCTTATTAGCCTATCCTTTGACGCCTGGGACCTGAAATATAACAAAGTAGCACAACCCGGCGTAAAATAGGCCAAAAATACACGACTATGCCCCTCAAACGGATAAGAACTAGGGGCGCAAATATGTGCAATTACATCGTTATCAAATTCCCCCACACTTAACCGTTTGCTTGTCCCCAAGCAAACCTAACTCAAACCAATGCAACTCTCCAGACCTCTATAGCAACAAACAACCCAGATCGTAGGTAGAGGACTTCCTAGATCATTTAGCAGCTTACGAGGTCAACCGACGCACAAGTCATCGCATAGCTTCTTCGGCGAGGGCACTAGTATCGAGTCGGCATCATGGCAAATAGTGAACAGAGGACAAATGAATTGTGGATGAATAGATTCTCAAAAACAAAGAATCATGGACTCACATTTTTCAAGGTGCTCTATTTTCTTCTTGAAGATGGTTGGAACCCCTTTACTTTCTGTTTTGCTTGTTTTCTGTTATTTTTTTCTTCTCTTTTTTTTCAAGGGTCCCAACCTGCTTTTCAGAAAATGGGGGCTCCCACCTAGCAGAGGTTTTGCGGGAGCCCGGCTCTTATCGGCAATGCCAGGAGCGGATGTCTCGAGCCTCGTGCGGGGGAAAGACATGTAAGGGGGCTGGAGTTAGTAGGTGGAAATTGGGAACGAATTCCCGTCTCCCCTTACACACTTTCGCCCTATTCGCACGAGAGACGTTATTTTGAAGCACATTTTACTATAAAGACTGTGAATTCAAAATGTTAAACTCAAAACCTGAAACAAGAGTCCATGACAGGCAGAGAGTCCACAACACCACACAATTCAAGGGTCCTAAGATCACTAATTCACTCAATCAACCAACACAATATGAAGAAGAAATGAGACTTCTTAAATGCATCAACATCCTCCATAGTGCTACACTACCTCCCTAGGTTGCATATTACTATAAAGACTGTGAATTCAAAGCATACTGAGCAGCCAATTGCATGGAAACACGTACTTGGAGCCCTCAAATTTAAAAATTTGGACAGTGGACTAGGCTCCAAGCACACAAACAGATCTAATGCAGTCAAAAGATAAACATCCCCCCACACTTAAGATCGACATTGCACTCAATGGAGAAGAGGGAAGGGAAAGGGGAACGATGTTACCGGTATGCACGGACTGTAGGAGGCTGGAAGCGGACCAGTCGGAGTGAAGCGGACTGGAGAGAGGACCAGTCAAGACAAGCATAGCTAAAGGGGAACAGAAGAGCTCAAACACAATATGTTAGGTCCAATGGTCAGCCCAATAATACATCATCCAAAACAAAAGAAAACAAACCAAAACCAAAACCAAACCGGTTTACAATCCGACTCAAAACACAAGAAAAAAAGTCAAACTATGGTGGGGTTGCCTCCCCACAAGCGCTTCTTTACCGTCTTTTAGTTGGACGCCCATGGTGGATACTCAGGGAGGTGCAGGAACAGGTGCCTCCAAGAGCGGATCCACGTCGCTCTTGATGTACAGCTTCAGGTTGTGGCCATGCACCCGACGGATGCGACCACCATCATCGGTCAGCTCGACCTGGCCATCCGGTAAGATGCAGGCGAGTGAGTACCCGGACGGCCAGGGTGGTCGTGGTGCAGGAGGTGAGGCCAGCTCATTGTGGTCTCCACCCTTCTTCCGTACAGGCTTAGCAACCTGCTGCTTCGGCCGCCACTCCTCCTTGAGCTTTTTGTTCGGAGGCGAGGCTGGATGGAGTGGCGGCGAATGAATGATAAGAGGGTCCTGCAAAATAAGAGGTGCAGAAGGATACACGACAGGCTCGTGTACCTGATCAGAAATGGCATGTACAGGCGTGACAGCAATCATAGCACAGTGATCGAATTCAGTTACAGAGAAAGTAGCCTGTTCATTCCCAGCACGCAGGATCAGTTTACCATCATGCACATCAATAAGTGCCTTGGCTGTGGCAAGAAATGGTCTACCCAGAATCAAAGGCACATCCACATCCTCATGTATATCAAGAATAACAAAATCAACAGGATATGTGAATGCACCTACATTAACTAGCAGATCCTCTATGATCCCCCTAGGATGCACAATGGAACGATCAGCTAACTGAATGCTCATCCTAGTAGGGCTAAGTTCACCTAGGTCTAGCTTTTTGTACAACTTATATGGCATGACATTTATGCTAGCGCCTAGGTCAGCCAAGGACTTGCCTACATGCATGCTGCCAATAGTAAAAGGGATAGTAAAACTCCCTGGGTCCTTGCGCTTTTCGGGCAGCTTGTTCTGCAGGATAGCAGAAGACTCCTCGCTCAGCAACACTGTCGAGAGATCCCCAAGTTTCTTCTTGTTGGTGAGGAGATCTTTCATGAACTTCGCGTACTTGGGCATCTTCGACAGTGCCTCCACAAACGGTATGCTGATGTTGAGCTGCTTCTACATTGCCATAAAATTGGCAAACTCAATCTCCAACTAGTCTTTGTGTAGGCGAGTGGGGAAGGGAAGCTGGGGTACATGCTCCTTAACCACTGGTTGTGGCTTGGGAGTAGGGGCTTCCTTCTCCACCCGCACTGCTACATCGTCGGCTGGAAGTGCTGAAGCAGGTAGTGGTTCCTCCTGCCTAGCCGGGACAGGATCAGCAGATATGGTCTTACCGCTCCTGGTAAAAATGGCATCCAGCTGCTGATGCTGGTGAGGATCACGAGGATTCGAAATAGTGGTGGTAGGCAGAGTCCCCAGTGCCCTGATAGTGTTTTGGCGGGCCAAGATACCCACCTGGTGCTGCAGATCTTTCAAAATGGCACCTTGGTTCTTCTGACCTGCCTCCAGTAAGGCTACGCTCTGGTCCAACCTCGTGATAGTTGCCTGAGTGCTAGTCATGAATGAAGCTAGAATATTTTCCAGCTTTATCATCCGGTCATCTGGGGT